CCATCCGGCACCCTCGCTGGCGGGGATGGGCAGCGAGAGCGCGCGCCGGAGCAACCCGGGCTCCGCCGCTCCCCCCTGCGCCCGCACTTGCTCCTGCTGCTCTTCTTGCCCGGCTGCCCCCACCAGGGCGGCGCCTCGACTGCGCTCCCGCCTTTTCCCACCGAGGACGGGTGAGTGAATGAGTGGCTCCTCCTTCGAAACACCTGCTTCTTTTTTTAATTATTTTTTACGCGGCAGTGGGGTGGTCGGCGGGGAGTGTGTGCGCTCGGTTAGGCTCCGGGAGGAGTGGGGGGGGCGGCGGCGGCAAAGAGGAGGAGAAGGTGGAGGTGGTGGCGGCGGCGGCGGCGGCTCTTTAAGCAGGGGCAGTGGGCGACGTCCCTCCTGTAAGGAAAGGTAGCTGCCTCTGTCCTGGACCGTCTCCCTTTCGTCGCCTCCCGCCCCTCAGGGGATGAAGAGACGGCTTGAAAGCTCTGAGGAAAAGAAGGGGGGGGCTCCTCTGGAATGGAGGTGGAAGCAACCGCTCAAGCCCTGGAGGTCCAGCGCCTTGGCAATCTCCAGGCTGTTGCCCTCCTCTGAAGCCTATTATTTTGCACGTGCCCTCCCTCTCCTACAGTTCTCAAATTTGTTGGTCGCCTAGGAGGCATTCCCCCCCCCACACACACAACCCGCCTTCCTCTACTCTTATTTAATCTCCAGCTCAGCCCACCAGAAGAGACCGTTTCTGTAACGTCCCCCCGAGCCATAATTCTATCGCGGCCGCTTTTCAAATTTGTAACTTTTCGAAGGACCTTTCTGCGGATCCCCTTTTGCAATAAGAAGGGGGTGGTGGTGGTGAATGAAGGGGACAGATTTTCCCCTCCAGAAGCAGTCACCCGTGTCCTTTGCAGGCTTCTCCTTTTTCCCTCCTCCTCCTCCTCCTCCTCCTTGCTGTACAATGAAGTCTTTAAAAGAGATCCCTGGTTGCTCGCTAGCTGGCTGGGGTTGTGCCAGTCCTTCTCCAGTGGAGCGCTGGACCGTTTCTCGGGGCTGAGCAAAGAATTTGATCTATGCAGAAGAGGAGGGCATATGCTTATACCTGGCGGGCAAGTGCTGCTGTGATGCGATTTTTGACATAGGTAAGCGTTTGGTGGCTCCTAGAATGAATGCAGGAGGAAGACAAAGATGAACTTTATTGAAATAAGCCCCCGCCCCTCCTGTTTTGCTCTCTTTACATAGCTGAATAACAAGATTGTGTTTCTGGAATGCTTCTCCCTTTATTTCAGCGCAGGTTGTGTTGTATTTTCAGAGTATGTTCAATATTTCAGTAGTTCTGTGTAGAAGGGTTGTTATGACAGCAGTTTCCCTCTCTGTCCCTTCTTCTCTCCTGTACTTTGTATATAGCATTAGTGGCCCCAATAGGACTATATCCTGTTGAGCCTGTTGCTCACGTAACTCCACAACCCTGTAATAGACCAGATGGGTGGGATACAAATCAAATAAATATAATAAAATAAATAATTTCTGCCACGTGAGCTGAGTGCAGTGTTTCTATTCTTTAATTTCTTCTGTTTGTATTTTTGCTGCTCTCTCTCTCTCTGTGTATGCATAAAGAAGTTGCAGGTATGACAAAAGGATCTTTTTTTCAGCAATTCAGTAGTGTGCCTCTGTTTGTGCACACTTGTAAGGGGTGTGTGCCTGTGTGTCTGTGCATGGGCTTACACTGGAGAGCTTCATGGGTTTAGTGCAGTGTCTGTGTGAATTGTTTACTTATAAGCCAAGGGTGTGGTGGTTGATTTGGCAGCAGTGACAGTAACTTATGATGGCCCCTGGGCTGCATAAATGTAGGTAATAATTGGCTATAGTTTAAAGGAGGTAGTCATTAAAAAGTATCAGATCCATGGGTTGTTATGGAGATGAGTCGAGTTGATATTAGCAATGGTACCATTGTGTCATTGTATATCTGTCTCCTTGCAGTTAGAAACTGTAGCTTAAAAACTCTTTCAGTTTTCTGTTTTATCGCCTCTTTTTTTTTTAAATGTAGAGTATGTAAACCTGCATAAAATTGTACTGGATGGTATGAGAAATTGTGCAGGAATTCTACATGCTTTCTTTGTACCATTTTATTTTTAGGAACACATTTGTTCATTTTTACAAGGTTTTTTTGTGAATTGAGTTCTAACCTGTATGATTTAGTGATCCATCCTTCTATTGTACTGGGGTTTGAGGTGTGTTTTGTATTTATATCACTTGCATTTTTATTACGTATACGTTGACTTTTAAAACATTTGTATTAAGAATTGCTTGTTTTACAGACATTAATACACATTTACATCAAGAAAACAGGAACAGATCCCACTCCATTTCAGTATGGAAAACCCAATAAAATGCAATTTCTTTTTTCAAAATTAGTTATTTCATATATATTCACTGCAGTATTGGGAATGTGAATAAAATAACCCCAGGATACTTATTGTAAAAATTGTCACATAAAAATAAATCTCTTTCTATATATTACTATGAATTTTGCAGTCTTGCATTACTACAAAATATTATTAGAGAAAAGTACTTTTAATGTTTAATTTTAAGAGATTTAATCTGTTGGAATATCTGTTATTAGGAAGTACATAATAATAACATTTAAAAAACCTGGAAATTTTATCTTCTGAATTCAGCCGGTAACTATTGAACCACTGGTTCCCAATCTTGGGCTATCCAGGTGGTTCTTGGGCTGCAATTCCCAGAAGACTTCGCCACCAGCTTTGCTAATCTGGACTTTTGGAAATTGCAGTCCAAGAACACCTGGGTACCCAAGACTGGGAGCCACTGCACTAGATAAAATAATTCAGAAACATTATAGTTTGACCTAATCCTGTTTCTTCTGGATTAATCACTGCTGCGGAACTGTTGTTTTTGTTACATGCTATCAAGTTGTCTCTGACCCATAACAACCCTATGAAGGAGTGATCTCAAAAATGTCCTCTCCCCAATAGAACTGCTCATGACCCATAAACTCAAGGCTATGGCTCCTTCAGGGAATCAATCCAGCTCATTGTTGGTCTTCCTATTTTCTGGCTGCCTTCAATCTTTCCCAGCATCATTATCTTTTCCAGTGAATTTACCATCTTATGATGTGCCCAAAGTATGAACACTGTTGAACTAACCTAGGCTAAATCATTGAACTCAACCTTAAAATCCTGTATACATGGTAGGAGGCTGTATGTTTCTTAATATACCTGAGCTCTATGTCACAAAAAATGTGGAATTATCTCTGCTGGAAAAAGACCAGGATGGAAGTGGACAAGGGCTACATCCAAATTTAGTTATTTCACTTCCTCAAGAAAATAACTTGCGTGATCTCTGTTGAAGGATGTCCCAGCCATCAACTATTAAGAGAACTCGGGATACAGATCTAAATTCACACAGATCATTGACCCAATGGAAATAGGCTTGGCTGCTGAACAGAAAGGGTTTTCTCACATAAACTCATTTTATTTTAAACATAACCTAAAACAGTTATGTATGCTCAAGTTTGGTCTTGTTGGGTTCAGTGTGAAGCTGTAATAATTTTTTTCTTGGGGAAAATCTGACATTCTGACATGTGATTTGGTACATTGTCTCCTTTCTAGAATAATCCCTGCTTCAGTAGATAAAAAGAAAGCTAATGTTTGCGTCTAGGTAGATCTATCACTGGTAACATGGAAGGTAACACTGCAGCAGAGGTAGGGGAGTCAATGGGGTTATTATCATTGGGTAAGAATGGGCCATCCCTTTGTATTTCTGTTATGTATTCTTCAATATCATTTCAGAGATTTATAAGAGAATGTTGACGTCTTCCTCACTTTAGCTTTCCTTAACATCTTGTAAGATACAGTTGCCTGAGAAATGGCACATGCGGAAGGCCAACGAGAAAGCTTCATGGCTGAGTGCATATCTAAATTGAGGGTTTCAGTTGTCTTACAGTGGCTTATAGATGAGTATGGCTTAGTTAACTGTACCTGCAAGAGTGATTAAAAAGAAATGCATACATTGGGTAAAAGCAATTTCCACTACTAATGTTCTTAATGGTAGTTTCATATTCATCTGCCATGAAAATGCATTTCAAGTTCAAGGAATTGCACAGTTTATATAGATTCTTTATATCTATCTATGGGAAGGCAGCTAGCTGTATTTTAAAATGCTGGGAAGTGACTGCTTTCCAACAGTGATCTTAAACAATATTGCTAGGCATTAATCTGAGATTCTGTGTAAATTAGTTATATTACTGATTCTGTGATCCATTCTCCAATCAGTCATTTTGAACTGGGGTAGAAGTGTTTGTGCTGGAAATAACAAATATCAAAACAGTATAGTATTGGATAAAATAAAACCTACATCATAGATATGGCACAAAATATGAGTAAAACAGTGTATGAAAACCCACAGTTATTAAAGAAAAATCTTTTACATTTCTAACTGCATAAAAGCATTAATGTGATAACCGTGGCAGACAGTAGTGGAGAACATTAGTAATTATTTCAATAATAGTCATAATGCTTTACATTTTTAACGCACTTTGAAGGGTTTATGGCACTTCACGGGCTTTGTTTCCATAATCCCTACAACAAGGATGATTGCTCTTAATATAAATCCTACTTTTAAAAAATTACATAAAATTTCACACACCATTTGGCTGCATTTTCCCTTTCTCTCCTGTCCCGTACAAAGAAGGATAAAATCAATGTTTAAATAAACCAGAGCTCTTTTAAAATATCTATTAAGTTAAATATCTCCTTTAAAATAACATGGTTTCAAATGAATCAGAATTTAATAGAAATATACAGAGCCTGCGGTTCTTATAATCTTTGAAAACTGAATCTATGGCTGTCTGTCAAAGCTGCCATACTGAATTAAAGCCTGTTCTTGTAGAAAACTGTACTATGTTGAAAATATCTTAAGACCATGCATTTTAAATGTGACTCTACATATACTCAGAATATTATTGTTCCTGATTGATCTAAGGAGCTAATTCTTAGGACACATCAAGGATAGGCAAAGAGCAGCCCTCCAAATACTGCTCCTAGTATTCTCACAACTGGCTATGCTAGCAACAGTTGATAGGATTTACCCCAGTAACATTTGGAAAGCCACTCTGCCCCCCATAGGCTAAATCCCTTTGTTAATCCCCAGATAGGGTAGACTCAATTAATTAATG